GTATTACCATTATAACTTTATAAACAATTCTAGTGCATTTTTAAAAACTAATATAAATTTTACTCTTTTCATTTAGGATATGGTGGTACCAGAAGACGATAAGAAAGCAAAAAGTTGAAGTCAAACATCGAATGCAAATTTTCTGATTTTTCATCACTTTCTCTTAAAAAAAAAGTGCTACCTGCTAACAGCTGGGGGAAAGTCAAAAGTTCTGCGGTGTTTTGTCCTGTATAGCTTTTTGTATTCTATTATTGGAGACTAATAAGAGTTGATAATATGACAAAATGCTTATGTGGAAAATTGTATCTTAGTGTAACATGCAGATGTTTATTACAGTTTTTGAAAGTGATAATTACTATAGAATGCTGAAAATGTGTTGTTTAATTTCTAAAACCCGTGATGCCATGAAAAGCATTAAGAATGACCAATAGACACTGAGTACAGAAAATTTCGATCTGATTTTAGTTGATGAGCTATTATCTCATAGAAACAATAATAATCTATTTGGTATTTGGTGTTTGCTGTTCTTCAAACATTTAAGAATTAGCTTTGGACTACTAATTAAACTAACCTGTGGGTTTTGATCACTTTTGAACTCAGGAGCTTTGAATCCTTCAGTGGTACTGGGGTGCTAGAAGAGGAAATTACCTTTTTACGGAAAAGGTAGAAAAAATAAATATCTAGAAAGTCGTTGTGAATGATTGTGTGCTGACAAAAATTCTTGAAATCCTCATATACATTTCTTAAGAGGTAAATTCAGATGCTTCATCAAAGGTCTTTTAATAGCAAAAGCATGCAGTTCTCTGGAATCTCAAATATTGTAGCAGTCTTTTTCAGTCTTGCATTAAAATGATGGGAAAAAAAACCCAAGAGATTTTATTCTTATTCTTTCTACACACTTTGACACAAATTGATGTTACTTTTTAACTCTTTTTTTTCCCCAAAGGAAAAGGAATTTATGCAGAAATTCTGTTTCCCTAAACAATAATTACCCATGGTAATCTTGCCTCAGCTACCAGTCATTTGGTAAATGTTTTCAAAAAAATAATTTAGAAATGATGTGGGAGGAAGCCTCTGCTAAAAAAATTTCTTTTTAAAAAGAATAATTAAATCTCCAAGCCTCCTAATCTTCAAAGGTTGTATAATCTGTTTTAGTTAAGCGCTATAATCCAAGGGCCTCATTTTTACCTTTTAGGAATCATTGAAAAACAAACTCTTATTTAGATTTAAAAATGTGATTTAGGGAGTAGTCAAAAGGGTACTGTGAATAGAACTATCCCTCTTCAGTAAAACTTGTAGACGTTTTAATTTATGTCACACAAGAAACACATTTTTCCTTAGGTTTGTTGTACTAAATCCTTACCCCATTTCTCCTTAGTAAAAAGATATGGAATGAAAGAAAATCAGTTTATTGCCTTTCCCCTATTTGCTTATTTTGGGTTTTATTTATTTATTTTTATTACAGGAGTTGATAATCTTGCATTGAGTATGTTTTACATGGAAAGCAAAGTAAAAATGTTAATTTAAAACTATAGATTGGGCTGATTATATTGATCTGCATATTAAATTTGATGTTCTTAAAACAGTATGCTCAGATTTCTATTTTTGAACACATTATTGCAGGTCATTGGAATTATGCAAAATTAATGAGAATGTAAAGTCAATTAAATTGGCAGCTTTCAGACTGCTCAGGAATCCTGGGTGTTCTTTGAGGCTCTTTCAGAGGCTACTTGGAGGGAAGGGAGGAAAAGAAGCTGAATGTGTAGGACTTAAGACCTACTTACCCCACTCTCACTACAGTGTTCCTTCTTTATCTGTTGTATGTTTACATTTCTTATTTATGGAAATGATTCTGAGGTATCGCCTCCAAAATATTAGACTCAGAGAATAAAAGACAGCGGAACTGGGTCCCATTAGGAAGTCGATGACCCACAATAGGGATTGGTACCTAAGGAAAGTGGGTTACTTCGATTGGGAGTTTGGTGTGCCTTGTTGAGAGAACATAAAAAGGAGAAAGTAGAGGTGAAAGGAGCTAAAAATCAGCTTTACAGTTTTACTTACATGAGGGTTCAATAGAAATCTCTTACATTCTGACGCCTATCCTCCAAGACTGGCTTAAATTTATCTATTGCTTTTCCTTAAACGATGTACACACTTTTACTATTGTACTTAGTACATTACATTGTAATTATCTTTTTAAGTGTAAATCTTTTTTACTATGCTGAGCTCCTCAGGGAAAAGGGTCAAATATTACTTCTTCCTGCCCTGAAGTTCTCAAACTTGAAGGAGCATCAGAATCACTTGAAGGGCTTTGAATACCCATTGCTTGGCACTACCCCAGAGTTTCTGATTTAGTAGGATTTAGTGGCCAGTATTATGTGTCAGCTTGGCTAGGTTATAGTCCCTAGTTATTCAATCGAATACTATTGTAAGTATTGCTGTGAAGGTATTTTGTTGATGTGATTAACAGGTACAGTCAGTTTACTTTAAAGGAGATTATCCTTGATGATTTGGGGTACGCCTGATCCAATCAGTTAAAAGGCCTGAGGAACAGAACTAAGGTTTACTGGAAGAAGAAAAATTCTGCCCATGGACGGTAGCTTCAACTGAAGAGTTAGCACTTGCCCTTGATGGCCTACCCTATGAATTTGGACTTGCTTAGCTAGCCCCCACAATTGTGTAAGCCAGTTCCTTCCAATAAATCCCTCCATATATATCTGCTGCTGGTTCTGTTTCTCTGGTTGAACTCTGTTACAGTTTTTGGTATCAGAAGTGATTCTAAAGAAATAGAATCTTAAGGATGAGTTTTTTGAATTGATTCTCGGTTTTCTAGAATATGTTCTTTGATCTGATTAAATTGGAAGGCACTTTTGACTAATTCAGTGGTAAAGGGAATGAAGGTTATTCATAGACTCAGCAACAGGTTTTCACTCAACAGAAATTGATCCTGGGTACACCCACTGCCGAGTGCCCAGCCCAGTCTTCGACAGCAGAGATTAACACTGCGCTCTGGTTATGGTACCATTCCCTGAGGGAACCAGGGAATTGGTCCCCCTGATTACATTAAACCACTTCTATTATGGTTTATTGTCATGCAGATAGACATTTACTCTAGGTTTGGTTTGTCCTCACTTGAAATGCTTCTTGTAAAATACACGATATGTGGGCTTACAGAATGCCTTATTAAGCATTACAGTATCGTGCATTACATTATGTCTAAGAAACTCAGTTCTTAGTGAATGAAGTACAGCAATGAACTATCCCCACGTATTTTATAGGGACCTCTGGTTTTCCCCTGGACCCAGGAACAGTAAATTTTCATGGTTTGGTGAGCTTCCGATGCCTTCAGGAAGATGTCTTCACATTTTGTTCAGTATCGTTAATTTCCCTGTGTGATAGAAGTGGTTCAAATCATCTAGTCCTCAATTACTTGAAAATGGAATTCTCCTAATTTACATATTTGAAGATAGATCTGTCTTTTGCCCAAGGTAGACATCCAAAACATCTTCAATCAGTTCTTTAGTTTTTAGGTCTCCTATCATCTGGTCATCATTCTGGGTTTGGTAATTATCTTTTTATCCCTAGCACAATCTTTATTTTCTTATAACACTAGAGGGAAAAAGACATTTTTTTCTCCTTACATTAAAACATTCAGGATTATGAATATTAAATTATTTAGATTAAATTACATTTATTTAAATTATATAGTTAAGCTGATTTGCAATTATGCGTATTTTAATAATTTTAAGTTATAATTATACATATTCCATAATTAAAAATAAAAGTAATACAAGTTCTTTGTAAAACATCTAAATAGTTTAGAAAGATATAAAGAGAAAAACAAAAGTCTATCTGCACTACTTAAGGCCATTCCTCTGCTCCCCTCAATGTGGTCTCTCTACCTAGAAGTAATCTCTTCTGTTTTGGCAGTTGTACTAGAAATATCATGTCTAGAAATTTTTTTCACAAAGAATAGAGATGTTCTTTTAATAGCTGCATCACGTTCCATCACATGGATATAGCATAATCTGCCTATTTATTTACTGATGTTTGCCATGTTTTAAAATTTCCTATTTTCAACAATGCAGTAATGAACATCCAAAGATAGCTTTGGTACATGTGTTTATGTCCCTCTACAAAGAGGATGGAACCCCACCCAAGCAATAGAGTCACACTCTATTAGTTTAGATCTTTAATATATGTATTTAGATTTGTAGGATATATTTCAAGAGTGATAAGATCCATGCTTAAATGTGGCACCTGGAATGAAATTAGGACGTGGATATAAGAGGAGCTGCCATTTAAACATGGTCTTCCATTTTTCTACATGGGTGGAAACAGCCCTTGAGGCAGATCTTTGTGGCTCTTCTTAACTAAATAGAAGGTAAGTAGCCATCCACTGCTCTTGAGAAGTATATAACAGGACATTTAAAACTGGCTTGATGAACACCGGTTCTGGTTCTTTTAATACTTTTTAATGTGTAGAAATCAAAAGTTGCTTAAGATGAACTAAGTAATTTTCTTGGAGACCAAGATGGATATTGGAAGACAATGTATCAACATCTTTCTCTTGGAGTACCTCATGAATAGTACCTTTTGGATTAGAGAGAGCACTTACTGAGGGAGGACAGGATGAGTTTAGACTTGGGATTATTACCAGATTCTATGATCTTAAGGGAAATCGTTCCGAGTTATAACGCTTGTGGCTGTCTGGAACTGGAATTGCTGCAGATCTTACCACAGAGAAATGAGTGTGCTTTGGAAAGAATGGCTGATGGTGTGGGTCTCAAACCAGGGAGCTATAATCTGGGAAGTCTAGGAGGAAGGTACTACTATGACCTGCACAAGAAAGAATAGGGACTGAAAGGAACGGCGAAAATCCATCAAGACCAGTTTTCGGCATGTGGCAAGAACAGCGATAGCTGAAAATTTGGTCTCTGGTGGATGCATCAGATCTTCAAATCGCTTTCCAGAAGGCATTTAAAGAATATGTTCAGTTACTCTGGACAATGTCCCTGGGGTTCTTGGATAGTGGGGGTAAGAAGTGAGGTTTCTTGAGAGGTAGTATACCTCCAACTAATCTAAAATATTGGGGTTCTGGCCCAGTTTAATTAGAAAAATAGATGCAATCATATTTGTTCCTCAAGCTGATTAAATCATACTGGTTATACCAGTACAAAGTTCAGTGGATACATTAGTTCCTTGATGAGGATGCATTATTATTGCAGTCTTTTTTGGCAGCTACATCTCTCTAATACTTCATATTAAGCTTTGGAAGATGACTTAAAAAAAATGCCACTCTGTAGCCTGGAAGTTTGCCACCATCTTGCATTTGTACAATGGACTAAAAAAAAAAAACAACCAAAAATCTAAATTCGAGAATTTCCAGCTATATTCATTAAACTTCATCATCATTTATGGATGATGAGAAAAGATTTGAGTTTGTTGATATCACTAGAAATACTACTAATTCTTATACCTACAATTGTCATGGTACTTTAACCATTGAGGATTCTTGCTTTCTTGAAAATGATGGATAACTTTGAAGAGCAATGTCAGATTTTGTTTTATCTAATATAAAATTTCTCATGATATGTTCTAATCAAAAATTGCTATAAAATAGCCTGTCATGGCACAGAGAGCCCAAAACTTTAAGGTATGTATTTCTTTGCAACATTGGTTGCCACTTCTAGCTTTTTCTAAATTAATTTTTTCTTTCATCACTAGAGGGCAGTAATGCTTCACTATACAAAATGGGTAGGGAACTCTCGTTTTTTACTTTTATTACTTAGTGGGTTGTATATGCTGTTGTAGACCTACTAGATAGATTATTTTCTCCAAGACTTGCCAGAATTTAAGGTTTGCTTATATTAGAGTTATTTACGCAAGATGTTTCTGACATACTGTTAGAACCAATGTGGTCTGCTGTCACCGTTCTCACATTTTTAGTGATATAAGACTTAATTCTTTTCTATACATAAAAATATATCCAGATTCTCATCTTTGAGTTCTCATCTTTTCTACCGTTGCCACTCAGATTGAAGCCTCCACACCATCATCTGTCTGTCACCTTAGGTCTACTCTGACTACCTACATGATGGTAGGTTAGGATGGGCTGGGTTATTCTGCATAACAAACTCGAAATTTCGCTAACTTAATCAACAAGTAGCTCACGCAAAATGTCTTACACACATTGTCTGGGGCTTCTGCTCATCACAGTTACTCAGGGTTTCTGGCTGATCTGAAGCCTCCTTTTGGCATGTTCTGCAGTTGCTGCAGCAGAAGAAGGCATGTGGGGAATTGTGCACTACTCAAAGCTTCTGTCTGGAAATGACACGTGTTATTTCTGCTCTTCATTGGCCAAAGTAAGTCAGATGACTATTCCTAACTTTAATATGGTAGAGAAGTACATTCTTAGGTTGGGCCTGCAAATGGAAAACCAAATATGTTAGGTGAAACCAAACTACTATTTAAAATATAACTCCCTATTGTTAAAATGGACAGCTGAAACTTACTGGATTTTGTTAACCAATGTCACCATAAAATAATTAATTAATTTAAAAAAAAAAAAAGGGCTCCCATGGTACT